GATTAAGCTATTTTCGAGGCTGAGGAAGATAGCGCGCCGCTGGCGAACGCGCGGTGGTAGCGCTGGTTACGTCTTCCGTGCCTTGGATTTATACATCCCCTACATACCCCGCTACGCTTCGAGTCCGACATCTTCGAAACTTTAGCTTCAGCTATTCCGACACGGACGCATCTCGTCCAGTTTCTCCTCATTACATCTACAACGTTGCTCGCACGGCGTATATATGCGCGTTTCAAACGAATCGTGATATTATGTACGTCTGTTACATTACGTGTAATTTTTTAACACATCTAAATCACGCGGCGGGAGACTGTCGACCTGCCTCCCCGACATTTTCGTATACCTATATATATACGTTTAAGATTTCCAAGCCGCGCGCTCGCGTAATCGCGATCCGAGATCCACGTTCGGGATCCCGCCTAAATCACCGGCCGCGCTCTCGCCCCGCCCTACCCTCCTCCGCGCGCGATCCGCGCCGCTTATCCGCGGGATCTCGGATCACGATCGATCCGGGCGAATCGATACGCGGGGCAAGGCGAGTATATACCTTATACATACCCGCGGAACTCGGCTAATAGAGTTCGGGCCCTTGACAGCGATATTTCACGAGAACGAGAAGAGGAATGGCCGCGCGCGCGCGGACGGACGGACGGACAGACGCGCCGGTGTGTGGTCCGGCACGTCCCGAGTGCAGGACGGCGATTAGCCCCAGGCCCCCTAATCCCTCCCTCGCTTCCTCTCGCCCCTTAGCTCCGGTCGCCGGTTTCACCCTCCGGGGCCTAGGCAGGCTCCTTTCCTCTCGCACGCAGCCTCTTCCTCTTTCCCGCTTCGTATTTTTTAGCCTACACACTCTCGTGCGTCCACGTATTTATACTATCGCGTGCGTGCGCGCGTTCACGTATGCTCCGCGTGTGCGCGTTTTGCGGGTGCGAGGGTGTGCGTGTATACGTGTGCACGCTCGTGCGCCTCCTCGGGTGTCGTGTTACGTGTTAAGCGGTACGGCCGAACGGTAACCGAGACGCGGACTGCACACCGGACCCATTGTTCCCGCCGTCCTCCCCTACGTCCCTCCGCCCGCACCCGCGCGTTCCCCTGTCCACCCTCGCACCGCTCATATGTTCGTCGCGCTCCTCGGGCTGCGCCTTGCGAGAATGGGTCTTTCGGTTCGCGTCGATTTGCCCTTCGTCGTCTCTGATTGTTCCTCACCGCGTCTCTGGATTCGATCCGATATCAATACTGTGCATGGTATACAAGATTGCAGTCACCGGCTGTTGCAGAATAGCTGTTATCTTTGCATTTTTCAATTGATTTTTTTGCGAGATAAAGGCGATTTTACGTCATGATATAATTTTTTTTCGTAGTAACACGATTATATTCATTCGAAAAGTATGCTATGATTTCCGCGATATTTTAACTGTCATATCCGTGCAACGCCGATAAGAAATTTCTTGGAATTGTTTCAAATAACACTTGGCCGTTGTTACGTCTAAATAACACGTAACAACGGCGCTCTAATAAAGATATAAAATAGTTAAAGATCTCTCGCTGGAAATCGTTACGCGATCGGGCTCCCTCCGGCACAGACCTCATTTCTCGCAACTCTCTTATTTTTCGTACGCCGAGCAGTCTCGCGCAGTCACGGTGGTTTTGTCTCGCCCTCACACCACACGGTTTTACGACTTTACGAGTCGGGGGCTCTCGTCGCCCGACGTGCCGGCTCGCAACTACCGAACGCGAAGGCTGACCCTTCTCTCTCCTTGACTGGGTGTCGCGCCCGGCCCCGGTGACCCCCGGGGTAACTAGACCCGCGAGAGCCCCACCGGCCTCCGGTCCACGGAGACAGAATCATTACCGGGTGCCGGTCGGGATTGAATTGTACGGCCCCGACGACGTCGGTCGCACGAGATGATGAAGTGCTTCGTCGCGCCGAAATGTTTCACGAACGACGATCGTTCGGCGTAACGAGGTTGACCGACAATTTTCTATATGAAAAAACGCTGAGCACTTTTTTAATTTTTTTTTATATGTATATACAATTTTTTACGAGAAGTAATAATTTTTTTTGTCGAAATATAAGTCTTTTTGTCTCTTGTTTCTTTTTTTTAAGCATATTTCATCTGAGAATTGTGAATGAATTTTACAATTATTTCTTACAATAATTAAAAACTTTATATATATATATATTTCCTTGAAGACACGGCCTAAAGTTCCAAGGGCGGGAACAAATACGTTCCGGAACCTTTTTATTATGCACGCCTCTAAATTATTTCATGCACGAAAATGCTCTGAGTTATCGAACGCCGCAGTTACGAAAGGCGTCTTCGGATATCTCGACGGTTCGCGGAACTGGATGATCGATAAGAGGTATCATTCGTGGGCGGCCCGTACTCAAATTATATCCGGCGGGATACTAGTATCAAGTTGTCTCTCAAGCACTTGACTTCCGAGAAGCGTGAAGAACCGGCAGCCATCTATCGACGTTGCCCTCGCCTTCGGAAATCCGAGATCCGAGAGCAGACAACGAGACTTGATCGTGGCGAATCGGGAGGGACGTTAATAAATGCGCAGAATGCACATTGTTGCTTTAACAGACGTCAGTTTTGCTATTTTAGTAGCAGAAAAACGACACGCTTTTCCTACGTTTTCTTTAAATAAAATATTGGTTATAAGTCAGATTAATAAACTGACCTCCTCGACATTAGACATTCATAGGAATTAGTTCGTCCGTTTATATCCCTTCTAAAATTATCAGGATACATATTACTGGATTATTCTTCATTCATAACCAACTCTCCTGCTGGTCTTATAATATTAAAAATTGCATGATCCGAGAGCAGAAATATGGAAGAGTGTCTCCTTAAGTCTTAACGGATTTATACACTGGCCGAGAAGAGTGGACGGTGAAAGATGCGCTATCGTGGCTATAGTTAAGAAATCAAACGAGTGTAAAATTCACAGTAACGAAGCAGATTATTGATTTGAGGTTTGCTAATCGAACGAAATGAACATCTCGATCTCCGTACTTAACGTCAAACCGATTCGACTCGTTCGCTTTAAACGGGGAAACAACTCCTTCCAGGCCACGTCGTGAAAATCCATCAAGCATTCCGATTCGCTCCTTTATACACGATCTATGGCGCTTTGCGCAATCGGTCTTACCTCGCCGGGCTTGAAATCGAAAGCAATTACGACGAAGCGCCGCCTCGGATTCGCGATATCGTAATGAAGCCTCAATAATTGAGATAGACTGGCCCGATAATCGGCGTGTCCCTAACACGCCGCTCCCGCGCGTAATCACGAAAGTAGGAAGTGACTCGCCGCGATTCCGCGCGCAATGAGACTTGGTCGTTAATTATCGCCAGCGTGAAGAGAGAGAGAGAGAGAGAGAGAGAGAGAGAGAGAGAGAGAGAGGAGGGAGGGAAAGAGAAAGAAAGAAGTACAGACTGACCCTCGCGCCGTCCGCGACGCGTTTTCATCCGTGATCGGCCAATAATCCGCTCGTTAGCGTTTCTGCCGCGATAGTAACGAAGCAACGAAGGCGCGTCCGCGCACAATCGCGCGTAATTAACCCTAATTAAGCCCGTGGCTAACGCACGAAATCATCCATCACGTTTGTTGCTTTGGGGGGAGAAAGAGGCCTCTCGCGATCGTTGCTGCCTATCTCTCCCCTTCCCCCCTCTTCCCCCCCCTCTCTCTCTCTTTCTCTTCCACCTTTGCGCGCGCGAACGTTTCTCTATTGAGAGAAAAGCCTCGTCTTAATTACCCGCCATTCTCTCTCTGTCTTGTCTCTCTGTTGACTCCGCGTCCGTGAAGGAATCTCATTGATTTAACTCCCTTTTAAGTGCTATTAATGCCGATAACGTCGATCGATTAATCAGCCGTACGGCGAGGGGACCGCCTCTCTCTCGCCTTTAAGAACGGGACGATTTTATCTCGCTCTCTCTGTCTCGCGTTCCCGCGGCTTCAGACGATTTATTTGCACGCCCCGGTCGGCGCGATCTTTGCTTCGTTTCGGCCGATTCGAGCCGACCGCGCGCAGGATCGCGACCCCTCGGTCGCACGATCGCGCGCGCGGCCGCTCCGCGTCCGCCCGCCGCGCCGGCTCCTCGTTCCTAATCCCCGGTGCCGAGGCGAGCGCCGAGGTTCCCAGACGCGGCTCTCGTGTGCCAGATCATAAACAAGTCTTTTATCTGACTGCCTATTCGATTATTCCATTAATATTATTAATGACGCGCGGTGAGGATGTCTCTCTTAATATCTCCGGCAAAATTACGATCGGATATTGCATACATAACTATTGCAAAATCGTAATGTACACACGGAAAGAACAATTTTGCTGAATCCAGGTCTAAAAATAATTTTTGTTCAATGATCAAAATAATTTTGTGCGAGAGTCAAAATAGTTGCTAGAATATCAAAACGTTTTATAGCAATGCTTATCAATTTTAGCATATTCCAACAAATTATTTTGATGAATTAAACAAAAAATTATTTTCAGATCTGTATTTAGCCAAATTTTTAGACCTTTCAACAAAATCGTTCTTTCCGTGCATTAAAAATATTTGGATAATAATTATATTTGAGTCTGACATAGTGGGTCACGTATATGTATATAAGTCAATATATGAGAATCGTATATTAATGCGAGAATCATTGTCATCTGTCAAACCAAAATAATCTAAAGAAATTCTTTTCTATTTGCGATGCAAAATTACGAGGAAAGGATTAAGGGAGATCTGTCCTATATATTTTGAATGTTCTCTCCGTATATACGCTAACGATACATCTCTGTATAGTCTGTATCCTTGACTTGTTTCAGAGATCCAATGGAACTCATGGAACAGCAACTGGTCAGATGTGGCGTACCCCCGGTGAGAATCTACGAACATCTCGCCATGCCGTCGCCGGTCGTGGTGGCCGCGGCCGCGGCCGCGACGTTGGGCGTCCAGCAGCAGCAGCAACAGCAGCACCATCAGTCGTCCGCGCAACAGCAGCAACAGCACGAGAACGGCGGAGCGCACGGGTTGCCGCCCTGGCTGTCGCCGGCGTCGACGGCGCTCCTGTACGGCACCAGGGGCGCAGCCGGCTCGCCGTCGCCCTACTCCACTGCCGCCGCCGCCGCCGCCGCCGCCGCCGTCGCGGCCAACCCCGGCTTCCCGTATCCGACGACGCTGCCGTGGCCCTGGCAACCGCCGCCCTCCGTCGCGATGATCTCGCGACGATCCTCACCCCCCACCGCGGCCAGCCTGAGGTACGTGCCCTATCCACCGACGGCCAGCACACCCCCGCCGCTGCGGGCACGCCCGTCCTCCCCCAATTAGCGATCCCCGCTGGCGCTGGCGACTCAGCGTACGCGGCATCATCGTTCCACCACCCTCTCTCTGTGATTGTGGAAACCGGCACCGGCATCGGGAACTGGAACCGGAATTGTCCCGACAAACACGCGTTTTTATCTTATTGTCAGGGGCACGATGACGTGCGTACACGCGCGTTTCGTCGTCGTCGACGAATCGGAATCGCGGGTAGCGATTGCGGATACGGAAGTAAGTGGCATCATCTCGTTGCGCCTCTCCTGCAACGATGAACGAATATGAAATTCGGGATAAAGTCGTGAAACGATATTGTCTCGAATTACTTATGTGGCCCTAAATAGAACGTAAATAAAAAAATACTGATTTGTGCAATTGATAACAGACCGTTATGAATGTAGTTTTATACATGTATTGTTGTATGCTCTTTTGAATCATTATGATTATTTTTCAAAACGAAAAATTAGGCTCACTTGTCATCTTGTTAAATTATTTATTTTTAATATTATTCCCTGACAGACACGTGAATCTTATTAATTCGACAAAATTATTTCATAATGATAATATACATGAGTGACGGAGATTTCTATTGTAGCTAAGCCAATGTTTCAAAGTTCAAGTTTTAATCTTTCAGGATTCTGTTAACCATTCTATTACTAATTATTATATATTATTATATATTAAATATATAATAATTATAGTAATTAGTAATTATTATATATTAAGAAGAGTAATTTATGTTGAATGTATTCAGTACATGATGTTTGGCATAAGTGTATCTCTCCTTCTTGTTAATCAATAATCTTTAGAATTGTTATAATCATGTTGCAAAATATAATTTTATTACGTTGTGTTTATTAATTAGATATTAATAATTTCGTTGATAATAAACGAATGAATATTATTTATATGTTTTTCGATCAAATATTTCTGGAGAAAAGCCAGGAATATTTAGCCACGAGAATCCTTTTATTTTTCTCGATTTGTTCATATTCGTTGTGATGATGTCACTTAAGCCCATGTCGCGGACGTGCGTAACGGAGCAGCTGAGAAACGATGTGTCGCGAAAGCGCGTCGCTCGCGACTACGAGCTTAAGCTACGTTCCGGTGTTCTTAAAAAACGTTAACGTGTTTTCCCCCTTTAACACCCAGGTGCAACCAAAGAACCATCCCTAGCGCCCTGCAGCGTGTTAATCGCGGACCGTGTGTATGTGTGCGTGTGTGTGTAACGCGTAGATATTTATATAACATAATATATATAAACGGTAATTCTGTGTATACATGTCGTTCCATTAATATTACACGAGCGGGGCGAACGTATCGACGGCGGCTAAAACTCCACATCGATCGCACGGGGTGTTTTGTCCGAGGTATTCGAATACGCAGAACCGGGCGTCCCGAGAAGTTACAGATACTGGATACTACGCGAGAGTTTGCATATTCGTTCATCTCAAGTTGTCAAGGATCCCAGTTGTCTTTAAAGACTCCAAACATTCCGAAGGTAACTCCAAATCCCGGAGTATATTTATCTCAAAACATATATTTATCGTTAAAAATGCGTTTTGCGTAAGGGCCGGGATGTTTGAGTCCTTAAGAAACAATGGAATCGTATACATCGAGATATCCCGAGATCCAGCCCTTATAAGGAAATTTAATACCGGAAGATAGTGATTATATAGTTATTTATTTATTTTAAAGCTGAAAACAGTGCTTTTTAATAATCGAATTTTCAGCTAATGAATTTGGCTAGTATTAAATTGAATTTCTACGAGGCAGGCAGACGTGCGGGATCTGAGCATTCGGATACTCGGGAAGATGCGAGAATCGAAATTATTGGCAAGCCCAAGTGTCATGTCATCATAAATCTCGACATCTCGCTGTGGACGGTTTAGCGGCGGTTTATACGCGTGTCTCGCCCCGCGCGCGTGTCCGCGTAATAATCTCGGTGTAGAGATTTGCGAGTTATATCCAGCGGGGATCGCGAAAGCACACGCGCGGATCTTTGTACTCTGGTTTTCTCGATCTCGACTTGTACATAATAATTCCGCGCTCATTAGAACGGACAAGTATCTGTTGTAACGTGACGATTGCGTGCGTATACGTATGACCTGTACGTGTATACGGAACATGTAAATGCGAGCGAGTGTGCGTGTGAAATGCGTGCGTGAAAGAGAGGATGATTCGACTGTAACTGTATTATATACCGCGATAGTATTAACGCGCGCGTCCTGCCACAGGACGGTGCAGTTTGTATATATAAAGGTACCTCTTTACGATAGCGAGTAGTTCAGCGGCCCCGTATTTCCTCGATGTAGCACGACGAAAATAAATGAATTTTCATTAACCGGCTCCGATCACTCAATCGCCTGTACACTTTTTGCATTTCTCATCAAGATCTACTTTCTCCCATTATTTATATTCTTTGTATTTTTTCGTTTGTAAATAAATTATTTGTCGTTATTCAGAAACGAAATTGGAGATTACACACACTTTCTTTACTCAAACACCCCAATGAACATTATTCTAGAAAAATATTAAATATTATCATCATAATGTAAAAAAAAATCGATACAAGAAATTCCTTATATTATAATAAAACTCGTTAGAATTAATTACTAATTAATTGTTAATTATGTATCAATTTGATGTGATAGATTCTTATAATATATAAATTTATTTGACGACACGTTATATTGTATAAGGAAAATTGATATAGTAGCAGGATTATTTTTTAAATTAAATTCTATCATATCAATATCTATCTTTTATATGTTCGAGGACTCGCGGGATTTCGTACATTTTGCATTCGTTTCGCGGACGATTCGAGAATAGAGCCGCGCGTCTCTCCCGCGTCACCCGCTCCTTCTCCACCCCAATGTATGCCCTCGTCGCGCCACCCAGGCTTCATCGCACCTTCAACTGCCGTATAATTCTGTTATACCTATCTGAAATTAAATAAATTCATTTCACGGCCTGTCAGCAAGCAATTATTCTCAGATGCGGCCGCTTTAAGGGGCTCGGTTCGTTCCATGACTAACACCTTTTCTCACTCCCTCTCTCTTTCTCTCCGCGTCCCTTCTCTCTGTCGTTCGCGAAACCCGGGTTCAGCATCGGGAGCATGTCGCTATTGCCGTATCGTATTGTACGGTCCTCCTGCTCCTTCGTCGTGGCGACGGCGACGACCGCGACGGTCGCTTCATACGTCGCCGTCGTTGGGCGCGCCGGGTCGCTGCACCGCAACTGTTTCGCGCGATCGAGCGCAGCCGCGGCGACACGAGATGCCCTTTAACCCTCGTTCGAAACGCGAGGCGAAACACGAAGCGTCAAGCCGGACGCCAGTAAAACGAAAGCGCGTCTTGTTTCATAACGTACACGATGACACTTTCAGTCGCAGCGGATAACTCAGTTAGAAAATATAAAAAGGAAACAACGCGATCAAGTTGAGTTAGTTAATTAGTTGAGCGACAATAAAGTGCATTATGTATTTTCCACTCCAAGCTCTCGAATTATTTTACATAATTCGATTATCCACTCTCTTAAATTGTGTAGAATATTAAAAAATTGTCAAATATTACTAAAAACATCAAACTTCAATGGCTGAAGGGCTCCATGATCGCCAAAAAGATTTCAGAGTCGCGCGAATTCCTGCGAAGGTAGCAATCTCGGAACAATCTCGGGTCGTTCCTAGAATTTGATAAACAGGCAAATCTAAAGTCCTTACCAACCATGAAAGAATAGCTTAATAATATTTTTTTTCGCAAAAACAATAAAGCCAGGGTTGAAACATCTAAATTGCACGTAGGGCGTTCACCAATTATTTCGAAGACATTCAGCGAGTACTCGAGAAAGAGAGTCTTTTAAGGACCCGTTGAGCCAGCGGGATGCGGCGTGGTGGTGGCGGCGGTGGTGGTGGTGGTGATGGTGGTGGTGGCGGCGGCAGCGGCCAGGTAGAAGGAATCCGCACGGTCGGAAGAAACGCGCGAAAGGAGCAGAAGACCGGCGAAGAAGAGAGAAGAAGACAACGGAGGTTTCACCGGGGCGCGAAAGCGATCGTGTGTTACGTCGTGATGGGTGGAGCGAGGTGAGAGAAACAGAGAGGCGGCTCCCGAGCTTGTAATTATGTTGATACGAATGATCTGCGGCTCGCCGCAGACCGACGAAGAGCAGCGGGAGAAGAGGAGGAGGAGGAGGAGGAGGAGAACAGGACGAAAAAGAAGGATACGAGCAGGAGGAGAAGAAAGGAAAGGAGAAGAGAGGGTGAAGCCTCTAGCAATGCTCACCGGCTGCTCTATACGTATAACCCCTCATATCTCTTTTCTCTTTCTTTCTCTCTCTCGCGCTTCTTGCCTCTCCCCTCATTTTCTCCTCACCTCCTCCCTCTTTCCTTGACACTGCGTGTAAGCGTTCCCTCCGTGCATCTACCCGCGTGCATTGCTCATCCCCACGCGACGAGAGAAAGAGAGGAGAGACAGACAGAGAGAGAGAGAGAGAGAGAGAGAGAGAGAGAGAGAGAGAATCGGGCTTTAGGACCGTGGCGAAACCAGTTTAAGTGGTTAAGTGTAGATGTAATTGATTTCCATTTTACGAGGCCCTCTCGGGGAAGACGCTCCTCCACCCGCAGCGCAGCGTCCACCTCCCACCCTCCCCCGAGCAGTTGCAGCCTGTCCTGCATCCGCGCGTCTCTCTCGCCCCCTCGCTCTCCTTCTCTCTATCGCACTTCCGCGCATCTCACGCTCCATCTCTCTCTCTCTCTCGCCCCCGACAACTATAATACTTTTGTTTTCCTCTTTCCCGCGCCCCAGCTGCACACGCGTGCGACGCATACGCGCGCGCAACGCATCGAACGCATAAATACGCATTATAATGTATCGGCGGGTGCCCCTCTCGACGAGAAAGAGCGCGGCCTTGCCGGGCATAATCGTTTTCTCACGCCTCGTTCCGCGATGATTTCGGCGGGAAGGATGGCGGTGAGGTATTAACCCTTGCCCATCACCTCTCGCCGTACCTCGCTC